GCAAAGGGAAATGAACCGGCACGGTAGCAGCGCATCGCACACATGATTTTCCGCATATGAGCTTCTTGGGATTTGTACTTTGACATTGTTACTACTTATGACATGTTTTTGAGACGTATGATCTATGGTTTTTATGATACGGAATAACTTGATGATATTTTCTCTGAATTGTTTTATGAATAGATATATCAAAAATGAAATTTTTGGTCCGTATTTTTGGGATGTTACAAGATGGGTGAAGTGGTTTTTTTTTTTTTTTTTTTTTTTTGTTTTTTTTTGTTTTTTTAACTTAAATAATAAGAAATTAATTAAAACAAATAAAAAGAATCAGTTAAAGGTATAATTATCATTTTAGGTAGAGTATAGACAAAAACTACAAGAAAATAATAACAATAGAGACCAAAACCACATAAGATATCTAAAATTTGACCACCAAAAACTTTTTAAACAAAAACCACATAATTTTGCCAACCATAGGGACATTTTTTGCAATTTTGTCTGCAAAATTTTATTCGGCTTAACCGGTAAACCGAACCAAATAATTCGTAACCAAATTGACCAAAACCAATTAAACTGAACTTTATTTGTTTAGGTTATGGTTAGTTTTAAGATGTAAAAAAATCAATAAACCGAACCAATTAAGCTGAAAACCGAAAAAACTAACCGAATAACACCCGTACCTTTGATAACAATATTAAAGTTTGTAATCATGGTACTACTATTCGGTTTTGTGGTAATAGAAGTTTGTCTATAGTGATTCCATGACATGTTTGCACTTTACAGTGGTAAATAATGAGTGCGCTTGTTACAAAAGTTCTATACAAGGTGAAAAAAAAAAGTTCAAGTTCGTAACATATAAGTTGCTTTTTTAAACATCAACTCTTTCTGATAACCACAAAAATATAAACCACAAAATTTCTCAAAATTTCCGGCGCCAAAAGCTTCAATTTCATCCCTTAAATTTATCAGGCCAACAAAAACCAAACATTAGTTTCTGTTCCAAACCCCCAACCCCATTGATTTCTCTGCTACTCCTCCGATCCTATCGGACACGGCTAACAATTCCGATCCGATCTCTGGTGTCGTTAAAAGCGATGCCGGAGATCGACAATATTCCGCCTCCGCCGCCGCCGGCTGCCAACTCTCTGTTTGGAAAGTATGAGCTCGGACGACTTCTTGGTTGCGGCGCTTTCGCCAAGGTTTACCTTGCCAGAGACATCGTTACCGGCCAGAGCCTCGCCGTCAAGGTTATCAATAAACAAAAAATTACTCATAACTCCAGTCTCATGTCTAATATCGAGCGCGAGATCGATATCATGCGCAGACTCCGGCATCCCAACATCGTTAAATTATACGAAGTTTTGGCTACAAAAACGAAGATCTATTTCGTGATGGAGCTCGTTAAAGGGGGTGAGTTGTTTGCAAAGGTTGCCAAGACTCGTCTCAGTGAATCCCAGAGCCGGAAATACTTTCAGCAACTGATCTCCGCCATCGGATATTGTCATTCTCGTGGTGTTTATCACCGAGATCTGAAACCGGAGAATCTTCTAATCGATGAGAATGGCAATTTGAAAGTTTCCGATTTCGGGTTGAGTGCTGTTACAGGACAGATCCGAGACGATGGTATGCTACACACACTGTGCGGCACGCCGGCTTACGTTGCACCGGAGATTCTCACCAAGAGAGGATACAACGGAGCGAAGGCGGATGTGTGGTCGTGTGGGGTCATCTTGTTCGTGTTGACAGCCGGATACTTGCCGTTTAATGATCCAAATCTCATGATGATGTATAAGAAGATATACAGAGGCGAATATCATTTCGCAAAATGGATGACTGCGGATCTCCGGCGACTATTGGGTTGTCTTCTGGACACAAATCCGTCGACGAGGATCACAATCGATGACATCACACGTCATCCATGGTTCAGGAAAGGAAACAAAGGGATTTACGAGTGCGACGATGAAGAATTTCTCGTGAAGCCAGAACAGAATGATAAAACGATGGCGTTAAACGCGTTCGACATCATCTCGTTTTCCTCTGGTCTAAACCTCTCTCCTTTCTTCGACAACACATATAACTCATCGCATCAAGGCGAAAAACTGATTGTCGCCGGACGACCGGAGGAAGTTATCGAAAAGGTTCATGAGACGTTGAGGGAGGTGGATGTGAGGATCAAGAAGCGAAAAGATTGGGGTTTGGAGTTGGTATGGCCAAACGGTAAATTTGTGATCGGATTGGAGGTTTTCCGGTTAACGGAAAGAGTGGTGGTGGTGGAAGTTCGGAGTAGAGGTGGAGGCGCAGAGTTGTACGATGAGTTTTGGAAGAACAGAATCAGGCCGGAACTGCTCGAAAGAAGACGGGAAGTTCAGGTAGCTGACAGCTAGAGACTCGACACGTGTTGAGCAACTTTATTTGTCAAAATAACTTTAAAAAAAATCTAACATAATAAAACATTTTTTACCCTAAAAATAAATTAAAGAAAAAAAAAGGTGAAAAATGGAAGTAGGGCTGTGGACCGTGAATGATCGCGAATGCTTAGAAAGGTGGTAGAGTTTCTTAAAATTCTCATGCTGTAGATAATACGATGAGAGCTTTTTTGGTTAGTTCACGTGTTCAAGCTCCTTTTTTTGAGTTCATGTATATGTATATGTATGAGCTACAACGTTTGTGTGTGTATATATATATATATATATATATATATATATATATATATATGAGCTTTGTACTTTCACATTCATAAAGTTATAGTTCGTTCTTCAATAAATTGTAAACCGAACCATCATACCCAGGAGGAAAACATGAAAAAAAAAAAAAATCATTTGATATTAAAATTTGTGAAAAATCCAGTGTTTTTTAACTGCAGCAAGTTTATTAGGACGAGTTAGATACCCAAATCTACACAAGCACAACTTAATATTTTATGGTTATAAATAAGGGTGGGCTCCCTACCAGAACATAACTGATATCAAACCGAAAGTAATAAAACAAAATGAAATAAAAGTAAGAACCGAATAGCAAAATCGAAGTATAAGGCATGGTGTTGTTTCGATTTAGGAAAGTAAATTTAGTTTGAACTTAGAAATGAGAAAAATACTAAAACCAATACCAAACAAAAAATACCTAAACCGAAATGACACAAAAAGTAAGAACCAAATACCAAACCTAAATATAAGAATAGGATACCGGTTCGGTATCACTAGTATTTTTGGTCATCTCTAATTATAAAACTAATATATAGTTTTCTTGTTTGAATTGAATTAAAGAAAATCTTTAAAAATATTGAAACTTAGGTTTGAAGAATAGGAAGCAAGTATTCCTATTAGGCTTAAGCTCAAAGAAAGGTTTGTAGAATAAGCAACAAATATTTGTATTAGGACATCCATAATACATTAAATTTATTAGAGTTTAATGGATTGACACATCATCATTTTACTTACTATAAACTTTACATTAATTTTCGTAAAATGCATTGAACTCAATAGAGTTCAATGGAATATATATTTAATAGTTAAAAGATTTTATTTTTCCCAATGAAATGTTCAATGGCTATTGACCTCCATATCCATTGAACGCCAATATGATATCCCGCAAACTATGCATTAAATGTCAATTAGACATGTCACCTCATTCAACTCTTTCATTGAACTTTGCATTGTAAATGCTCTTTGGTTCGAAGAAACTGTAATTTCTTATGTATAAAAAGTTTTTTCTATCTTTGTTAATTTTTTTCTTTTAATTAAAATAAAAACATTGATTTTCTCCATTAGTTGGAAACAAAAGACTACTACTAACGTACTAACTGAATTACAACCTTGTTTATTAAGTATGAAAATCTTTCGATATTTCTCTAAAATAATATGTAAAATATTATCCTGCCCCTATCTAGTAACTTGCTAGGCGGTGGGATTCTTTAATAAAATTACCGGTTCAAAAAAAAAATGTAAACTTAAATGGTTTTGAAACCCATCTCCATATATATGGAGAGCAAACATCATCGTCGTCAAAAACAACTAAAGTCTTTTATGAAAACTTTCTTATTTTTAGTTTGATAGATATTAAAAAAGGAGCAAAATAATTTCAAACAAGGTCCCCTTAACTGAGAGTAAACTCCATTGCCAAACTTTTCAATAACTGTTTTGTTCATTTTTTCAAATAAATGTTTTTGTATCTAATATATGACGTATTTGAGTTTTGGGGCCCCAAGTCGTTGCGAGCGTCGGTCGACAGCTTGCCCTACCCATTGGCATAGCCCTTCGAACCAATTATTAGTTTCATATTTTATTACATTTAACTATTTAAGCTTCAATGCCGAACAAATCGATAACAAAAGCTTATACGATTATTATTAATATATAAAAATAAAACATAATTGTTACAAGTTACATATTAACATATATGCGTTGTGTTAATTCATCTCTTGTGCTTCTTAATCGTGTGTCGTGCTTCTTAATTGTTGAAGCTTGTACTATAGCCCGTTCAATCTTTGTTTATATTTGTAATCCTATAAGTCTGACTTTTGTTTCTTTTACGATTTGATGTACTTACTAGTATTTGCTCCAAGTGTTATTAATGGTGTCTGTTCTATGACTTATTGCTATGTTTGCTTAGACTGTTAAATATACATGTTTATCCATATCCCTCCTTATTCTTAATTTCATCATTTATACCCTCTTTTTTTATTTTCGTCAACTATTTGATTTCTAAAATTATCCTATTACGATGAAGAGAAGTATTGTCTTTTTCTACTTCTTACCTCCCCCTTATGGAACTTGGAGTTTTGTTGTTGTTTCTTTCATAAAACCTTGATGCCTTTACACGTGAATATCATGCACTAACATATCAATTCAATAATTCATGTATATAAGTATATAACATATAAATCTTATGACAAAATCACAAGCAAATTTCATTGTTTAACAAAGAAACCTTATAATACAATCTCACACTGGCTAAAAGGAAAGAAATATATAAAAATGTACAAATATTAGGTACCTAGTAGCTCAGGGCAACTGATCCTGCTCTGGTGGCAGTGACCCTACTTTCTCCGGTTGTTGTGGTTGCTCAGGTGGAGGTGGTGGTTTTGCCTCCGGCTGCCATGTCCAAACTATATCTTGTAGCCCAGGTCTTAAACCCTCATTTACCACCTTGTGATATTCCAGTGTATCTCCATTACATTTCTTCACCTCAACCATATGAAAAGAGTGAGTGAGCTCGAATATCTCAGCATCAATTGACAAAATTCCTTTTCTACCCTCCGTCATCGCCTCCAGCTTCAACAACCCTGCTTCTCTTTTACTAATCTTCATCTTCAAAAGTTTAGCAATTTCTTCAAGTTTAGATATAATAACAGACGCAGGTCGCCATGAAGTGAATCTTACTTCTTTCTTTTGTCGAGGCTCTTCAAACAATGCTGTCAAGTCAAACCCTGGAGAGAGGGCAATTATGTCAAATGCGTTCAAATTCTGAAACCTCATCACTTCCTGTTTCTCTTCTGAGGAACACGAAGCAGATGCACCATCTGAACTTGTAGAAAGAACCAACTCCTTATTTGGTTTTCGGACAATATTGCCCTTTTTAAACCATGGGTTTTCCTTAACTTTGGCAATTGTGATTCTATAACTGGGATTTGGTTCCAACATTCTTGTCAGTAACCTTCTTACATCTGGTGGAAACCAATTTGGACATTTGAACTCTGCTTTTCCTATCTTTCTATACATTTCCATTAAATTTGAATCATGAAAAGGAAGATAACCAGTTAAAAGAACATACAAGATCACCCCACATGACCAGACATCAACTTTATCCCCATCATACCCTTTCCTGTTAATCACTTCAGGTGCCACATAAGCGGGGGTCCCACAAGTGGTGTGAAGTAGTCCATCTTGACGCTTTGATTCAGCAAGAGCACTTAACCCAAAATCAGAAACTTTCAAATTGTCATTTTCATCTAAAAGTAAGTTTTCAGGTTTAAGGTCTCGATGATAGACTCCTCTACTATGACAAAAATCAACGGCTGTGATCAATTGGTGGAAATATCTACGGGCGATATGTTCCTTTAATCTCCCTTTTGACACTTTGTCAAAAAGCTCACCCCCTTTGGCATATTCTAAGGCGAAATATATTTTGGTTTTGGTTGCCATGACTTCATAAAGCTCTAGAATGTTAGGGTGTCTCACTAGTCTCATGATAGATATCTCTCTCTTGATTTGGTTAATAAGCCCAACTCTTAAAACTTTCTCCTTGTCTATTACTTTAATTGCCACACTGTGGCCTGTTTTCATATTCCTGCCATAATAAACCTTTGCAAAGGTTCCTTGGCCAAGTAATCTCCCTAACTCATATTTTTCCATCAAAACACTCCCTTTAATATCCATAAGATTCACATAAACTGAAAGAAACTACCCTAACTTCACACAGATCACACTCACCAAAGAAGCACCTTGTTAATCTGTTATGTAACCTCAGGTTGTGCCACGTGGATATAGTAAGGTGGACATGATGTAGCCAGTCTCATCAAGAAGGAAGATGGTGAGTTGTAGAGAGGCAGAATCACAGTGGACTTCAGAAGAAGGCTTCTGAACCTTCATACGCATCTTGCAGCATACTATACCCTGGCCTCTCTTTGGAAGATTCAACAAAATCGTGCTCAAGTATAAACACGCTTGCAGATGAACTCAGGAGCAAGTAGAGGTAAATGATGAAGAACAATCCAAGCCTGAACATCAAAATTTAGAATTGGGCATGTTTAGGCTTATAAAACAAGAAATATCATCTCAAAACTAGCTGAAGATTTGATAAAACCTACAAAGGATACACAGAAATGCAAACCAGATTTGTAGTACATGTAATTAGTAGATTCTGCAAACCGTTATACAGTTGCAAACTAAATATCAATCTTGTAAACGTACAAGAGACTTTAAGAGATAAACAAGAATTATCTTCTATGATCGGATTGCATAAAACAACCTAATCACATCAATTTTGTTACTATTTCTTCTGAAAAGATACAAAATGTGTTTAGTGGCAGTAGAAGCTAAACCTAAAACACAATAAAATCAGTTTATACTTATAGGGTTACAAAAACGAAGTCTTTGGATGAAGCGGTTCTTTATTGCTCAATTATATGACCACCGACCGTTTTTATAACTTTAGCTTTCCTATTTGCATCCAAAAGTCGAGAGAGAGAACGTTTGAAAAATGAAAACAACAAAACGATCACAGAATTGTGGATTCGACAAGGGAAATCAAGAGATTTTCATGATAACTAAAACGATCGCAATTAACTTTAGATATTTGAAGCTACTTATAGAAATCAAATTGACCTGATCTACTAGTGGAGCTCGAACAGCAGCAAAAAGAGAGAAACGGTCGATTTGAATGGAGTCTTCCTTTTTGTTATATCCGAAGAATATGCGAGAGAGAATTTACGAGTCAAGATCGAATTCAAATGGCTTCAGGCGATTGTAAAGTTGTAACGTGTAAAGTAAGCGTAGGAAATGTTCACCTGCGTGCGAACTTACGGTACGTATGATGGATGAGAGTTTATACTTTATCGTTGGCTCGTATCGTCGGGTCCCGACTCTTCAATCTTTTAACGACAATTAGCTAAGATAATTTTTATTTATAAAAATAAAAAATTTTCCTTATTAACCAGTAAAATATCATATATTCATATTTACCGTACATTAAATCCAAATATAATACATATCCTTCTTAACATTTAAAATATCATATTTATTTAAATTTCTTTTTTAATCATTTTTTAAACGTTTTTAATCAGTTTTAATATTTTATAATCATTTTAGTTTAAAAATGGTAATTGATTAATTTGCCATTCAATACTTAGTACCCTTTTGTCTTAACTTGGATCGACCATAATGCCCCCAACTATCCTAACCTTTTTGTTGATCACGTACCTGGAGGATACGACGCATGCTTCAATGAAGTATTCTCTTCATTAAACGTCATCTTCAACAGCGAAGCAGCACCAGTACAACGAAGAATCTGTTCCAAAAAAGAACACTCAAATCTGTTCCGAGAAGATGGCAACTCTCACGACCCGAAACTCGAATTTTAGTTCAAGCGGTTTTTGACTTATGCGACCTAAATGAGAGTTGAATACCTCATTAATAGGAACTCAACGGTAAAAAGACAGACCAAACGAAGTCCGTATGAAGGAGTTATGAATTTTTCGCGGTCATTTAACAGTCTAATCTCCTTCTACTGTTAAATTTAAGATCGGTCGAGAATTAGCCGATAGAGTCTAAACAAAAGTTGTAGATTATGATCCCGCCTACGCGTGGATATAAAGAACGTTAAAAACGGAGATCGTATGCGAGAGTTACGATTTTTCTAAGTCGGGAAAGTGTTGTGCGAGTTTGGGTGATGTGGCGCGATCACAACCGTTGCTTCCTCCCCAAGGCTAGCCATCAGATGGTAACACGTGGCACATTATGCCCAACGTAATTTTGAGTACGCTCAACTTAACCCTTAAAAACTCATTACGCTCAACGTAATTTTTTAGTACGCTTAGCGTACAAGGCGCTGGCAGCCTATAAATAGAGGCGCAAATCTCCCATTTTCTTCACAACTCTCTACTTCTTTCCTCCCAAATACCCCCAAACCTTCAAGGTTTTTCCCTAGTACCTCCAAGGTGTTAGAATCAAGTCCCAGAGCACTGGGAAGCTCCGAGAAGAAAAGCTTTCGGTTCAGAACTTCTGCTTCGGTGGAGCCCGGTTTTGCAAAAAATCCGCTGTGAGTGAGCTACGCCTACCTTATCATTAGTATATCTTATGTTTTAATATAGTAATGTTATTAGGACTTTATAATAAGTATTTGGGATATTATTATGAGTTATATAGGTGTCATTATAATATCTTTTAACCACTCGTGGTATGGGGAATATGGTTTAAAGGGCCGCATAGGGTTGTCGGATTTCAAAAGTGTTATATGCCAAAATGGTCCTGTCCTCCGGTATTTTATATTTGGCCCCTGTCTATATATAATGGTTGAGAAATATCATTTTGTGCTTATATAATAGTAATAATAGCAAGACTATTAATTAGTCTTGGTAAATATTAGACTAAACTCTAGTGGTAATGATACTAGGCCTTGTCAAAGGAAAATTGTGTTAAGAGTAATGAAGTGTTGTCCGAGTGTCAAGTCATCACCTTTTCAGGTAAGTGCATAGTTACTTTCATCTTACATATAGATACGAAGTTTTTTAATATAAACTACGTGCTATGTGTGCATATTGTCTGAATACTTGTTGTCTATGCTGATGAAAGAATTTTATAATTGTTTTAAATGATTTAAACTATATATGTATTTTATATCTACAAAAATACTGGGGTAAAACATCAGTGGCGAATCTAGACGAAAAAAATCATGTGGTTCCCAAATTAAGTGAGGCCAATAAAAAAAATTCAACAACACTTATGTGGGGTCGGATTGGGTCATGTACCTTAAAAAACAGGACGAATCATTTCAACTTGTTAAAACCGATCAAACACCATCGATTAAATTTTTAACAAAACGATTGAAATATAAATGAAAAAAAAAAGCAGTATGTTTTTAATGAAAACTAGTTGATTATTAGTGCATTGATAAAACGGTGAACGGAGAGAGAGAGTCTTTAGCATGTGTGCTTCTTTTTATTACAACAATTTAGTTATTTACTGATATTTAAGAGTGTTGATTAAGAGTTGTTAATTTTTTGTCATCAATCCCATAATTTAAAATAACAAATTGATCCTAATAACTTATTTTTTCTTCTTTTTTAAAATGATTTTTTAAAACATTTAAAAAAAAAAAAACAAACTCAAGGTAGGTCCCTTATTTTTCTAAGGTAGTTCCTAATTTTTCTAAGATATATATTGTAAAGGAAATTGAAATTTTAGGTAGGTCCTAGGACCTACGTTGGCCATACTTAGATGCGCCCCTGTAAAACATGGGTATATGTAATAGACGATGTGTGATAAAATTATTAGAGGTCTCGATGTAGTTTTTGTTGATTATGTGATCTAGCGGAGTATGGAGGATGACCACAGACTTTTCAAGATAGTCCAATGGAACGCTAGCAGGCTTGCACCCTGTAGGTGTTTGTGAACGATGTGTTCACCGATGTACTCCACCCCCCCCCCCCTCATGGTTGTCTTAAGGACATTTATTTCTGAGGAATCCCCTTAGCATTAGTGTCCATCTCGATGTTGATCCTTAGTCTAGGTCCCTTATGATAGGTGTTTTAGGGACGTAATGTGAGGATAACGAGAACCGGTAATCGGGTTATTGTTGGTTGATGAAATTAATAAACTTATTTATTGTGGGTTGAAAACCCTATGTACTCACCAGGCTCCCAAGCTTGACCCACTCAGTTTGTTGTATTATAGGTAGTGGCGCACGAGCATAGATATGATGTTTGGGATGAGATATTACGAATATAGGCCTGTAGATATGAATAAATGTAGTAAGATTTATATTGTACTATTTATGCTTTTGATTTGTATCGAACATGACATCCCTGAGGTTTTTAATGAAATATATTTCTACGGAAATGATTTGATAAATCTTTATCATATTTTATTATGAGAACAAATTCTGCAACACTTTTATTTAAAATGTTACTCTGATTTTTAAAACAAAGCATAAACAAAATCGGTCTTTTCGGGTCATGAAAATTGGGGATGTCACACTAGTCCCCAAGTTCGGTTGTTAAGACCTAAGGGTAGGTCGGGCACCCCAGATATGCCTGAAAGTATGTTTATGTTATGATATATGTGATAGTAGTAGTAGGGGTGAAATAGTCCCCGAAGTTTGGTTGTTAGGACCGAAGAGTAGGCCAACACCCTAGAATGGCTTGACATGGGTAGGTCGGGCACCCCAAAATTGTCCGGTAATATGTATGTTATGTGATTGTATGGTATGTGGTATGATGGGTACCATACGGTATGATGGGGGAACTCACTAAGCTTTGTGCTTACAGTTTTCAGTTTTGGTTTCAAGTACTTCGTTTTCAAAGAAAAGGAGTCGGCTCGATCAAAGCGCATCACACTATTGTTTTCCGCACATGAGATCTTTGGGATTACATTATGATATTGTTTTATGATAACATGTTTTGATTATTTCTACTTTGTTTTTGACCTTGCATGATATTATGGATGTTTTATTATACTGTTGGTTTTGTAATAACGTATTTAAAAATGAAATTTTTGGCCTGTACTTTTGGGATGTTACACGTCGTGAGAATCTTTTTGTGACACTTCCTTCTTACAGCTATAACAAATTCCATCGCTAATAGTATAAGGTAACCGTTGCAACATCTCACCAGGTCTTTAGGTGTTGGAGTCTTAGAGTCGAATCGGAGATCCGGGTGTGA